TGCAGCTAGTGAACAGTGACGTTGCCATGGGAGACAACCACTCCTCTGTGTGCGCTTGGTCTCCAGACACGACCCTGCCAAATACTGAAATGAGTTCCTGACAAAGATGTGGATGTTTCTGACCATGAGGAAAAGTGTGAGGCACTGGTAAATGTTGTAAAATATGAGGAAAAGTGTGAGGCACTAGTAAATGTCGATCATTTCGTTTCTGTGGGTGACCAGAAGCCTAATGATGGACCTGAAGGTCAAGTGGATATGTGTGCTGATAACCCTGAAACATGTGATGTGGTGGGTAATGATGTGGTAGACACAGCTGAGCTAAAAGCTGCAGTAGAATTAGGCCCCCTACAGGTTCAGGAGGGTAGTCTGGGAAGGGAAACTTTAAATAGCTTATCTGCCCAGAGGGAAAACTTGAAGGAAGTGGAATATTTAAAGAGGTCCCCTGACATAAAAACATCTGAAGGGCAAGACAATCAGTCTGTCCTTCATAAAGAGAGTAGGACATTGCTGTCTTCTGAGAATGTCAGTGACAAAAGGAAGCATGCAGTGTACGGGGGGAAACAAGCAGAGCTAAGTTTGGTCAGTAAGAAGATGCCTGTACATAGAATGCAGAGAGGGACTAAGGTAACCCCAATAAAAGAGCCCACACTTTTTGTGTTTAAAAGCGTGACCCCTTCAAAGGTAAAGGGAAACCGGCTGTTGAAAGTGCAGAGTAGCTTTAATGTTATCCGACTCCTAAAACTCAGGCGTCAACCTGATCCTCACAAAAGTACCAAGTTTTGGAAATTCCTTAATGGGAAGGTGACTTGGGTGGCCCCTAGGAAAAGGAGAGGCAACGTTTTTGGAAGCGAACCCGTAAAAAGGCACAGTGTCTTTATAGAGGTCACGTCCATGTAGTAGGAGAACACAGGGAAAGTCGCCTCTTAAGACAGGAAGACATTCCCTTTGAAAGTGATGTCAGTCAGGAATGGGTACATATGGGTGAAAGCTGGCACAGAGGTGCCAAATTAAAGAGTTTGGGCTTGTGTGTTCTGCCCCCTATGGGATCAAAACAAAGGGGGGGGATATGTGGCAGTGGGGTATCCTGCCACGGTGGAAATCATAGATTCTCAACCATACAGGTTGAGGGGCTCCAGGCAGTTCTCATAATGCAGAGGAAACAGATTTATTGGTTTCCTCTTTGGTTTGTAAAGCCTGTTTTGGGACCTGTAGCCTGGAGATTTCTAAGAAATTTGGGAGGGATGAAATCTCCAGTCCTGGGCCCATGTTTTGAGAGCAGCCAGCATGCTGATTGCACAGGTGTGTGCAGGCCTTTTTGTGGAGGCCAGGCCATGATTCTGGGCTCCACCCTGGCAGATAGGAGTCAGGAGGGCTCCACCCTGGCAGACAGGGGGTCTCTGCCTTGGAGTCAGGAGGACTTCACCCAGAAGAGGTGGAAGCCAGACTAGCTGTGTGCTACTGACTAGCTGTGTGCTCGTGGCCAGCTGTGTGCGAGAGCCATATTTTAGAAAGAGTCTGTAGGAGACAGACATAAAACCTGTGTACAAGCCAGGAGGCTGAGTTTTCATTTGCATGTGCTTGATGGTGGATACCCCTGCGTGGGAAGCTTTATGTGACGGGACATTTTCTTTAAATAAAAGTGGGCTAAAAAGCCTTAAAAAAAAGAAAGCGAGTTGCTGTGTGCGTTTAACAAAGCTCTACCATTTGAAGCGAGTTCCACATAATATATATATACACACACACACACACGATTTTGTGCACCCCTGCCGCCCTGTAGCAGTATATCTGCTATAGGGCGGTTGGGATGTGGTTAAGGACCCGTGGGCATATGCCATCTGGTCCAGGTGCTTTATTCACCTTTAATCTGTCTACATATTTCTGGATCATATCAACTGTGAGCTAATGTGGATCATCTGGAGCTGTGTCAATACCATGCCCATTATGGACAAGAGCTTCCCCATGATCCTTTGTATACACAGAGCTGAAGAAGGTATTTAATAAATATGCCTTCTCTTTGTCCCCAGTCACCCACTCTAGTTTATTTTGTAAAGGGCCTACATGCTCGGACCTGACTTTTTTTTTACTATTAATATATTTGAAGAATTTTGGTGTTTGTCCTGCTATCTTTTGCAATCCGTCGTTCGTTTTCAATTTTTGCGGCCTTTATTTCCTTTTGCATATTCTGTTATATTCTTTGTAATGTTCTAGCGATGATGGCGTTCCTTCATTTTTATATTTAATAAAAGCTCTTTTCTTATTATCTATAGCTTTTTTAACTTTTGCCGTAAGGCACATAGGTTTGATTTTTAGCCTTTTAAACTTGTTGGCGATGGGAATATATTTTGCATTGTGTTCACATACAGTCTTTTTGAAGAACTCCCATTTCTGTGTTGTGTTCATCGATGCCAATATTCCTTCCCAGTCTAAGTCTTGGAGAGCAGCTCTCAGCCTTGGAAAATTAGCTCTCAACGTTTTTATTTTTCCTGTATGTGCCTTTACAGCTAGCAATAAATTAAATCATGTTATGGTCAATGCTACCCAGATGTTCTTTTATATTGACATTTATAATAAGCTATGCATGGTTTGAGATTACCAGGTCCAGCAGAGCATCATCCCTAGTTGGGGCCTCTATGAACTGTACCATGAAATTGTACTGTAGTAGGTTTATACATTTTTGCCCTTTAAACTATATAAATCCTGTATAATAATAATAACTGTTCCTGCAGTACCATTACTACAGTCACACTTACTCTGAGATCACTTCTCATTACTCTTTCACACTTGCTCTGAGATCACTTCTCACATAGAGACAGACAACACCACCTTTCCTTTATATCTGTCTCTCCTAAAGAGAACATAGCCAGGAATATTAATGGACCAGTCATGTGAAGAAATGCATTTGCCGTCTATATATCTGCAATTAGTCTCCTATTGTTGAACTTAGTCTTATAACAGTGGGTCATGGTATCTGTTATTTGCAATGCTGCTGATTTCACTGCTTTGTATATTGTTATATTTTACTGGATTTGCCCAGGGGTTGCCAAGCATTGTTGTAGTAAACTATTTCCCCCACATTAGGCTGGTCCTTTAACAGAGGACTTATACTCTCTGCAATTTTGCAGCAGGGGTGATACCCTCGGCGAGAGGTTTCTTCCATCTCCCTCGGGGTGCCCTCCCTTTAGGAGGTCCATTTTTCCCCTGCAGACCTTATTGTTGTTTTTTTTTTTTTTACTGGTTTAATATGTTTTTTGCTCGGGTGATTGAAGGGGTCCGAATTCATCTGTTTCATAATGCTTATTCAGTGTATTTAGCTTTGCTTATCTTATCTATATGAGTAGTATGCTATACATAATCTGTTGTGCACCCTTTTTACGCTGTTACCATAGCTAGAAAATTGAACATTTTGTCCTATAATGTTAGGGGGCTTTTTCTCCCACAGAAGTGGGGCTGCCTTTGGCAAGAATTGCGTCACCTGTCCCCAGATGTTATATTCTTGCAGGAGACATACTTCACTGCCAACTCCACTCCTTGCATGCCTCTTGTGACTTTTACCAATGGTATCATAGTACATCCCCTATTGCTAAGGCCAGGGGGGTCTTGATTGCTGTCCAGAAGTCCTGCCCCTTTTCACTTTTGTTTCAGCAAATTGAACCAGAGGGCAATTTCCTTTTTTTCTTAAAGGTTTAATAGATGGTCATAAATACATCTTTTCAGTGATTTACTCCCCATTTTAATATTGCCCTATATCCTAGCGTAGACATGTCCTCTGGCAAAATGTCTCTAACATGCTTTAACGCACAGTAAGATAAACAGCTTTTACGTGCTCTTCACTTGGTAGACAGCTGGCGGGTGGTGCAGGTTCGAGATAAGGACTTTAGCTATTATTTGAAAACGCATGATTCCTACTAGATCTTCTTTTTATAGACCAATTGTATCTGCACAATGTGGTTTCTTCTTCAATTGGTTCCATAACGATTTCCAATCATTCTCCTGTGATGTAGTCTATTCGCCCCCCAGCTGCTTTCCAAACTGAAAAAGTGTGGAGACTTAATGAGAACCTGCTGGATGACCCAGCTGTTTTTTCGAAGCGGTCTCTCGCTCACTACAATTTTGCTTCAAAACAAATTCCTCTGGAGACGTGTCCACACAAGCGATCCGGGAAGGCCACAAAGCTGTGGTCAGGGAAGAACTGATAGCCCATGGCTCTCGGATTAAAAAAGAAAGACAGAGGGAGATTGTGGAATTGTTGGATAAAATTCATACCCTAGAACGTAAACATAAAACATGCTTTGACCATTCGGATGCTCAAGCTCTAGAAACCTTGCGTACTACATTCTCTCAGTGCTTGGACCGTAGAGCCAGGGACAAACTTAGATTCTATACCAATTTCTTCTATGAACATGGGAATAAATGTGGCTGCCTCCTAGCTAGACAATTGAAAAAACAGAAGGCTTTACGTCATGTTCATTGCCTGACAACACAGAATAGATTGGTGGAGGACACTCATGCTTTCACTGGGCTGTTTTAACATTTTTATGCCTCCTCTTTGTAACCTCCCTACCAACCCCCCTACTGTGGATGACATGACTCAGACTACTAATGTGCAGGCCAACCTACAGGACTTTGCTTTCCCCTCTATTATTGAGGAACTAGAATGCCCGATCACCTCCAAGGAATTGGGAAAGGCTGTTGTTGCCTTCCTTTGGGCAAAAGTCTGGGACCGGATGGCTTCACTAATCAGTATTAGAAAGTTTTTCTCCATCCTAGCCAGCCCACTCTGTTATTTTAACTCTCTCACCAAAGACCCTCAGTATTGTACTAACTATATGCCCATTTCTTTACTGAATTCTGATACTAAATTGTTGGCCAGGATTTTGGCAATTCATAACTGAAGTATAGAAAGTGTGTGTGTGTGTGGCTGTCAGGTTGGCAGTATGGGGCCCTCGTGGTTTCTAACAGCCCTGACTATGGTCATCAGTGTATTCTCTTCACACTCTTACCTCTTCCTTTAAGCTTTTAGACTTCCCCTTCAGTCTGCTCTTTCGGCTGCAGCTCACAGTAAGTAAATTGTCAGGCACAGAACTACCCAAGTCCGAGGAAGACAGACTGGATGAGAGAGATTCCTTCATTCTTTTCTTCTAAAGAAACAAAAAATTGCATTTCATTTTCTTATACAAAAGTAAGCATAGCATTTTTGCTAGGTTAGATTATTACAGCGTGACCTAGATCTAGTAAAAGGGTGACACAGGACAAATAAGATCTCAAGCAAAAGAAAACCATTAAGTGACACGATCATAAGAAAACATGGTGAAATTTAGTAACAGTGGAAAGATTTAGAACAGCCTTTTTACAGCTTGCTCTGTATCTGGGTACACAATGTACCAACATTACCAACAGACTGCTTAGAAGCAATGACTGTATTAAACATACAATATTGTACATACATTTTAAAACAGTGCCACAAGATGCAAATCCTCATATGCAAAAGATAGCAGATGTCAGGGTGAAAAGCAGGAGTGAACATTACTAAAGCCTAGTACACATGATCAGAAAATCGTATGAAAAATACAGCTTGTGAAGAAATTGTACGATAATCTGGTCGTTCGGACACAGCTTTGTTAGAAATTATTTGAAGGGACAAGCACAAAAATGTTTCTCATACGATACCAGATCGTACGATTTTTGTTTAATCAGTATAGTTTTCACCTGAATATACAATTTCAATAAAATACAGTACATCACTTTCAAATTTTTATTCTGTCGTACAAGAATTTTAATAAATTTAACCTCTTCACTTCGATATGAGACTAGCATGCAAAAAAACCCGCCAAAAAACAAAACGGATGATCATTTGTCTGATCTTCTCATTGTGTGTACAATGCCTTGGAGATAGTGCCTCACTTACAAATAAGTACAGATTCCCCCCACATGTGGAACTGCAATCCATTAAAAACGCAATTTTGCCATTGTGTAGTAAAATCTGTTTTCACAATACAATGTTTACCAGTGAAGAGTTGGAGTAATCATATCCATCCTTGCATAAATATATACCAACATTTAGGAGTTGAGTAAAATGTATGGAGGAGGGGAAAGCCTGCCATGTTGCAGAGAGATGACTTGACAGAATGTATTTGAGAGAGACTTCCATGTAATGCATTGCCCTCTTCTAAAGACACTGTCATGTGGGATGCTGCCCCGTTAACGAAATATAGCCATGTGTGATACAGATTCTAAGTGGTATAGCAGCAAAAGCATGGCATGAATAGGCAGTCTGATTTTCCATGCAGTCATACTGTTGGTGGGATAGTTGCCTTACAATAATAACAAGGTATGTTTACACTGTATCAATATGTTGCTATACAGCTGGTAGAAGTGTGACTGATTAATATTAGTAGGGTTGTATGTGCATGTTTTTTGCTTTATTCAGCTGAACTGTTGATGAAACGTGCAAATGCTTTGCAGACTCCTGTGGGAAAATATTATATATGAACATTTTTTTCTTCCTTAAAGTTGAATTTAGCCTTTTACTGGTCACTTTCAACCCCTTTCTGCCCAGGCAATTTTTAGGTTTTCGGCACTGTCACACTTTGAATGACAATTATTTAATCGTGCAACACTGTACCCAAATGAAACTTATTTTTTTGAGACAGAAAAAAAACTTTTTGGTGGTATTCAGTTACCACTGGATTTATTTTTTGCTATATAAATGAAAAAATACAGAAGATTTGGGGGAAAAAAATTATTTTCTTAGTCGCTGTAATAATATTTTGCTAATAGTCTTTCATATATTTAGTCTACAACTTATGGTGTGTACATATAGGTGAAACTCGAAAAATTAGAATATCGTGCAAAAGTTAATTTATTTCAGTAATGCAACTTAAAAGGTGAAACTAATATATGAGATAGACTCATTACATGCAAAGCAAGATAGTTCAAGCTGTGATTTGTCATAATTGTGATGATTATGTCTTACAGCTCATGAAAACCCCAAATCCACAATCTCAGAAAATTAGAATATTACATGCAATCAATAAAACAAGGATTGTACATAGAACAGTATCGGACCTCTGAAAAGTATAAGCATGCATATGTACTCAGTACTTGGTTTGGGCCCCTTTTGCAGAAATTACTGCTTCAATGCGGCATGGCATGGAAGCGATCAGCCTGTGGCACTGTTGAGGTGTTATAGAAGACCAGGATGCTTCAATAGTGGCCTTCAGCTCTTCTGCATTGTTTGGTCTTATGTCTCTCATCTTTCTCTTGGCAATGCCCCATAGATTCTCTATGGGGTTCAGGTCAGGCGAGTTTGCTGGCCAATCAAGCACAGTAATTCTACGATCATTGAACCAGGTTTTTGTGATTTTGGCAGTGTGGGCAGGTGAAATAAATGAACTTTTGCACGATATTCTAATTTTTCGAGTTTCACCTGTATATGGAAATTGATCAATCCTGATGTACTGACTGCCTATCTCATTTCTTGAAGCCCTAAAATGCCAGGACAATACAAATACCCCTCAAATGACTTCTATTTGGAAAGTAGGCAGTCCAAGGTATTTAGTAAGAGGCATTATGAGTTTAAGTTGTAATTTTGTCACAATTGTTTGAAAAAGGAAAGAAATTAAACAATGTTTTTTTTCCACAAAGTTGTTATTTTAGCCACTTATGATTCACACACAGTATAGGCATACTTAGAATTACATCTCAAAACACATTCTGCTATGCTTCCTGCATATGGGGATACCAGATGTGTGAGACTTTTTCACAGCCTAGATGCATAAAAGGGACCAAAATCCATGGAGCACCATTGGGCTTTCAAGGAGCATAAATTAAACATTTCATTTCTGACCATCACATTTTTCCAGGCCCTTGAGCAGGACAGTGGAAACACCCAGAAAATAACCCCATTTTGGAAAGCATAATAAGTCTTTTGAAAATGAAAATTTTTTGCCACAAGTTTTTGGAGAATGCAGGGAAAACAAATTAAAAAATACAGTATATATTTACACAAACTTGTCAGTTTATAAGATTTTTAACCACTTCCGCACCGCCCTATAGCAGAAATACTGCTACAGGGCAGCACGGGTGTGCAAAATCATGTAAACGTGATTTTGCAGTTACAGGTAAGGGGCATGCACGCCCTACCTGCACCGCCATGCACGGACTCAGCTGTCAATCACCGGGTCCCAGCCGGTGATTCCCTGCCGACACCTGGCGATCTCTGAGTATTACCCCCCCCCCCCCCCCCCCCCCCCCCCCCTGACCAGGCCATTTTTTGCCAATACGGCGCTGCGTTACTTTAACTGACAATTGCACACTCATACAACACTGCACCAAAATAAAATTTAAGTCCTTTTTTTCCCCACAAATACAGCTTTCTTTCGGTGGTATTTGATCACCTTGCTTTTCTTATTTTTTGTACTATACAAAAAAAAGACCAACGATTGAGAAAAAATATTTTTTACTTTTTTTAAAAAAATCAAATTGTCAAATTTAGGCAAAAATCTATTCTGCTACATGTCTTTGATAAAAAAATATCCCAATACATATAAATTAATTGGTTTATGTGAAAGCTATAGCATCTACAAATAGCGGTATAGATACTGGAGTTTCTTTTTTTTTTTATACTAGTAATTGCGGGGATCAGCGAGATCCCCAGTGACACCAATACAGTGATCAGTGCTAATAAAAAGCACTGGCAATGTACTAATGACACTGGGCAAGAAATGGTTAACATCTGGGTTGATCAAAGGGTTAAATGTGTGTTCTGTTATGCAGAGCAATACAAAGCAATGTGCAGAAGATGACAGGGGAGAGATCTGTATTGTTTATATACAGGCCTCTCCCCCGTAGATGACACACGGCGATCCATACGAGTATGGCGATACCACGTGTGAGACTTTCAAGGTTTGGACTGATTATACACTAGATATTGTATCTTGTGTATCAAAACATTGTATCAACTAATTTTATCAAAACCAATGTACGTGAATGTTTGCCTTTCTGTGAGTAGTCAGGGAATATAGCTTAGTGTAGCGTCACCTATAGCAGTCTCTTTTCCTATAAGCCAAGCAATCCTAGACTACTGGTATATAGCTGTCCCCAGGAATGCCATGTTCACTGGCCAGGCAATATATGCTAAAGAAAAAAAACAAAAAAAAAAAAGGTTTCTGCGGTTCCAGAAGTGCAGTTGTCCGCAGGGGATGGCTTGGACTGGTATTTCCCAGGAACATAGTCAACAGGATGTGCAGATCATCGGGTCATTTCAGGTGCAGGGAAAGACATATTCAGAAAACTGACAAAGGATCAGTCCAGGCAACAGGCAGAAACATGGTCAATCAACAGACCAGTGTTAGTACGATGTGGCTGAGATGCATTGCTTTGCAGTTGTGGCAGGAATTATTTACCCTGTACTACCACCGATCATGACCCATTCAAGTCAATAGGGTTGCTTCTGTGGGGTCCAAGGGGTTAAAGCAAGTGGTGAGAAGGCAACACGATGCCTCCTCACTGCCTGTCAAGTGCTCTCTGAAGAGTGATCTGAACATGGATGGCTCTTCAGAAAGAATCACATATGTGAACAAGTTCTTATGGTGACATTGTAAGGCCCCTTTCACATGGTTGGGTTAGTGCAGCTGCTGGATTGATGCAGCAAATAACTGCAGATTGCTGCTGGAATGACCAGGTAATGTGATCAGCAGTGGCCACTCAGTCTATTCATACTAATAGAGGGCTGGCAGCAACCACTGCTGTTTGAATGTAGCTGCACACAGAGCGGTTATCTGCAGTTTTCGACAGATTTCAGGAGCCCCTTTCTGATTTAGGTTCACTTTGTTAAAGAAGCCCAACTCTCCTTTTTTCAAAATTATGTCAGTAAAAATAAGATTCCTGCAAGCTTCTAGGACAGCAGGTACTGATTGGGGGATATGATTATATTATGCTTCATCTTTCTATTGTGTATTAATAGACCAGCTGGGAGGTGATACCAGAAAGTCACCCCATTGACAACCTGTTTCTGTAGAAATTTCTGCATTTTATACCTTGGGGGCTTTTAAGACTTTATTTGTGAAGATACAGTGTCACGTTTGGTATGCTTTTCTTATCTGCTTTGGATAGTCACTATATTACGACA